TGTGGGGGGGGGTGTGGGGGGGGGGGGGGGGTTTACTTTGAGGTTGATTGGGACGGATGGACGGACGCAGAAACCCGTCACATCGTGACGTGAGCACCACGTGACATGCTTGCGTTAAGAAGCATCTTATACTGTCTAATCCCATAAGAAAACCTGGTATATACGTCAATAATTCCAATATCATTCTCATGGTGACTGTAAAGAAACATATAAATACGATAAATCCTACAGACAAGAGGTCGTGGTTTAACTGAGCAGCAAACAGCCTTCTAGATGAACGCCCGGATAGCGTCTGAGTAAAACTTGTTCATTTTCCAATTGCTGCATGCCTGTTACATGCCTCGCCCATCCCGATTTCATTACACTATGCAGTACTCTAAGTTATATAAATGTTTAGATGTGAGGCAGATGTTAATAACAGTATTTACGAAAACATATGAAATTACATAGGCGAATGTGAAAAAACGTATACCTTCATCTTTTTCTCAAGGGCTAGTAACAAGCTCATAAAACACTAAATTAATAGCGACGTTGTATAAACGTAAACACTGTGATGGAGTACAGTTATACGTTCAGATATGAAATTACTGAACACGACAAATATAATAAAGACTAATGTTTTCAAGTTAGAGTATACAACGGTTGTTGTGCGGGGCTGTATAACATAAAATATTCGTAGGCATTGAACATTCACTCAGTAGAGTCGAATGTTCCACTGTTGGTCCGCGCAGGTAGCGGGCTTCTGACGGACAGATTTCTCATTCAAAGATCCCAACAGAACGCGTACAAAGTCAGATAAGAATTTAAAAAAAAACATCTCAACGTTAAGACGCAAAAGACAACCGATTATATTCAAGTCTTCCTATTTGTGATTAGACAATCGAAATGTGACACGGATAATATTGGTGGCTGGTTGCCTACCTGCCCCTGCAGACAAGGGAGGTTGGGACAGAGCATTCGGTGGTTGCCATAGCGACTGGAGCAGATCCATGTAGAATACGAAGGTACTAGCCGTCTCAACAAACCACACAGGCAAATTATGATCCTAATCTGAGCAGACAAACGGAGACCACGCTATAAACAAACATGGAGTAGCAAATCGAAATTGCATTCTGATCTACATGAAAGATAAATATACTCTTCTCTGTCTTACAAATCATATAGACATTCCCCTTAGGTTCACTTAGGGTTAATCGTTTAAAGCCTATTGGAACATTCATCTATCACGTGCCTTAGAATTCAATACGTCTGTATTTTACCAAGAGTGGATCTACGCTTCTCTGTATAAACATCTGTTGTTTCCTTAAACAGCGTTAACCA